ATCTGTACCATACTCTATAGAATATATGTATTATCATCTTCTCTTTCATAAATTTTCTTGCAAAAACTACGTTAAAACATTAAAACGCAAATAATCTATACAGCCTCAATGTTTATACCTACCTATACAGCTCTCACGATAAGCAAATTATAATGCAAGTATAACTATGTTTTTTCAGCAATAATAAACAAACAAGGTTATATACTTGGAATAATTTTTTTCGAAAAACTGTTCAGTCATAATTTTGTACATAGTGTTATCACGCTTATTTGATTATTATTTAGGCTCAGCGAGCGCACTGTGCTGTACGAGAAAAACTCGTTCATCGCTCGAATATAATAAGCGCCTTAAAGTTTTGATAAATAGCTAAAGTCTTTTGGTGGACTAAGATATAATCAATAAAAACACACTATAAAAACACCTTATACACACGTGCGCTCGTGTATAACGTTTCATATAAGTTTTATGTAAAATTTATTTTGAGTGTGAAACTACTCGGATAAAATTGCTTTTGACTAAAAAAATAGATCTATAATTGAATTGTCTTGTACGGAACCATTGAATGTGGAAAAAAAATCAAGTTTCCTATGTGCAGAGTGCAGGTAATTCTTTATAATTTAATATTTATGCACCTAACACTAGTATAGGAATTGCCACGTCACTATTATTTTGTACTTATCTATCGGTATATATATTATTATGTATATAGATACTCGAGTGAAACAGCAGGCAAGGCGAATCAAATCGAATAGTAATACGCCTCGTTTTCGTTATTATAATATCATACGCGTATATGGAGTGCTATATATATACGTGCAATATAACTGAGTTGTCTGCTATAATAATAACAATACATATATATAAGAATTCACCCGCAAAAGAATCAACAAATAAAATTCTAGAGCGGAGGTGGAGAGGGTTACAACAACCCCACCCCACACTCCGGTTGTTGTGCCACCAACACTCCGTGTGCACACATTATACCTACCATCATATATATATATACATTATACATATATATATAATAATAACACAGAAGAAACATATGCGTAAGTTTCACGAACGTGTACACTTGAAATCACTCGATTTGCGTGTGCGTGTGTGTGTGTGTGTGTGTGTGTGAGTATGCGTGTGTGTGTGTGTGCACCAACGTGACAGAAGCCTAATAAATTAGAACCTCGTGCGTGGAATATAATGTATATATATAAACAGCAGGAGGAGTCGAGACAACGCTCGCGCCGCTCAAGTTTTGGAATTTATATATTATATTATAATATTTGGTCCGTCCGCTGAGCATGTTGTGTATATATATACAAGTGTGTGTGTGTGTGTGTGTGTGTGTGTGTGTGTGTGTGTGTGTGTGTGTGTGTGTGTGTGTGTGTGCATTGAGTTAGTGTGTACGACGTGCTTGCGTGTACATACAAAGGGAGAGACGACGATGCCCCAAAAGTTTATCAGACTCGGGCGCGCTACTTTGGGCGGCGAGAGTCTCTCGTGAAAAATCGGCGAACCGTGCCGCAGTGTAATAAATTGAATCTTATAAGGCGAGAGTTATACGATATTGCTGCAGTATTATAAGTGTACATTGTTACTATATCGATTGGGCGACGAATGAAGTCGATTAAAATTATATTTAGTGACGACATTTTAATTATTACATAAACATTACCATTTACTATGAAAGCAGTATAAATATTTCATAATAATACGATATAGTTCGTTTAAGCTTGTGGAAACGTGCGAATCACCTGTATTTTTTTTTAATAATTGCAGGTAAACGCTAAACAAAAAATTACGAAAAAACGGTATTTTCTCAATTTTTTTACTTTGTTTTAATTAAAAAACAAAAAACCATTAATACTTGAAATTTTAATCAAATATTAATTATTATATTATACAAAGTAAAATGTTCAAAGTTTTTACAATATTTTTCCCTCATTTAAAAATAAAATATGAAATGTTTTCTATAAATGTTGATGAAAATAGATTTCTCATACCTAAGTCACAAGCATTTTTTCTGAAATTAAAAAAATTAGTTGAACTTAAATCCACGTCTTTTTTTTAATATGTGTTCGGAGTTCAAATGTTAACACAATTAGATAAAGAAAAATAACGATTTTTAACTAAGAAAGTTATTTTGCTGTAATTCAAAAGTATTATTCGTAAGTCGTAACTATATTAAACATTGGCCATTACGTTTATTATATTATCATATTTACACAAATATATTTGTAAAATGTTTGTCCATATCTACCTTATATCGCTAATGGCAAATCATGGAATATAAAATTCCTTTGGAAATATAGGCTGATAGACCATTCTTTGCTCAACATCATTTTTAATCACGTACGTTTTTAATCGTATGCAACGGTTTATCATTAAATTCATATTGAATATATCTATTACAGTGACCTACTCAATGGCGGAGGGCACTCGACACCCTACTATACAGCAACAGCAGAGTGGGTTACACATTTTTTTTTCAAGATTTCTCGTCAATTTAAAACCTTTTTTTCACCACTTAACCCTCTTTTTAAGCTGTCTTAATGAAATACAATGCGTAATGTCTATACGCTTGCGTTTCTTCAAAACGGCTGGAATGGGAATTTTCGCGAAAGTAGCATGTACTCTCGTAACCACTCTCAACTGTGGAGTGAAGCGTAATCGAATCGTTGAATTATGATCTCTAACAAATTTGGATTTGAATGTACCACAAACTAATATATATGTATATACTCCTCCAGTCAAGTTTTTTTCCCTTTTTTCACATTTTTAAGTCATTTTTCATTTTTTAGGTTATTTTTTGTAGTTATTGGGACAATTTTAGATTTTAGAGCAAGTATTAAGCCCAAGTTAGAAAACAAATTTTATTTATTTAAAATCTAACTTTGGATTTGGACAAGTAGTAAAAAATCATTTTAATATTATTATTGTTTGGTTTTTGTTGTGATTAAATTTATTGCGTTCCAATAAGATTTACAATTTGAGTGTTATATATTGATAAAACAATTGCTCTTTCAAACGTACGCGGATCATACACGCTTATGAAGTATTATATTTATAAATTGTATGGAATAAATCCGATAAACAAGATTAAATTGACATAGACATTAGACCTATTGATTGACGTGTTTATGATTGCAGTTAAAGGAACTATTGTCAGTAGTGATTCAGCATTCACGGTCACCGTTTAACTGATATTTTTCAAATTTTATATTTTAACGATTTTAACATGCCGAAAGCAAAATCGTCTGTAAGTATAGCCGCTTACGTAGTTATGTAAGTGAATACGGAAACGATATTTTTTTCTAGTGATGGTGAAGTGTTATTTTGTAAAGTGTGTGATGTTAAAGTTTCTACATTGAAACGATAATACAGTAGTTAAACAACACGTAAATCGAGAACAACATACTCGGGGAGTTGAGCGACAAATAGAAGAAAAACCAAAAACTCAATTATTGCTGACTAATACAAGTAATACATCAAAAAATCGTCGTTTAACTTGGAACTATGTCAAACATTATAATCAGCTAATATTCCGCTTACTAAATTAAACAACGAACATTTTCGAACATTATTAGAAAAATATATTAAAGTTGATATCCCAGATTAGTCAACTTTACGTAAGAATTATGTTGAATTATATGTTACAATGATACAATGCAAAAAATTCGAGACTACGTTGGAAATAAAAAAAATTGGGTCAGCATGAATGAAACAACAGGCGTCAAAGGGCGATACGTGGTAAGTGTCATTATTGGGACTTTGGAATTAGAAAATGCTGGAAAAATATTTTTTCTGCATACTGCAGTTTTGGAAAAAGCAAATAATTCAACAATTGCCAAAATGTTTGATAAATCTATGTTTATGCTATGGCCTCTTGGTGTTAAACATGATAACGTTTTACTTTTTTTATCTGACGCGGCTCCATGTATGGTAAAAGCAGGAAAAGTTATACAAAACCTATACTCTCAAATTATACACGTAACTTGCATTACACTGCGATTCATAGTGGCCAAAGAAATTAAGACAAATTTTCAAGATAAAAATAAATAAATAAATTTATATCAAGTATTAAAAAAGTATTTCTGAAAGCGCCATATCGAGTACAAATTTTTAAAACTATTGCTCCCGGAATTCCTTTGCCACCTGAACCCGTACTCACGCGCTGGGAAACATGGATAAATGCAGAAAATTATTATTGTGAGCATTTGTGTGATATAAAAAAGTGATTCTGGAATTAGACAAAAATGATTCAGTCGCGAATTGACTTGCAATTGAAAACGCGATAGAACAAGTGTTAAAACCTAGTTTGGAAACAAATTTAATTTATTTAAAATTTAACTTTAGATGTATACCTTCAGAAATAACATAGTTGGAGACGTCCGGGATGTTATTATCTGAGTCAATTAAATGCATAAAAAAATTGAGTCTTTAATCCAAAAAGCTCCAAATAAAATCGGACAAATAATAGCAACCAAAATGGAGAATGTCGTTTTAAAGAATAATGGATTTAAAATTGTAACGAACATCTCTGAAATGCTAGATAGCAAAAGCACAAGAGGAGAAGATATTCCAGGAGGTCTAACTACTGATGACATGACCTACTTCAAGTATGCACCCATAACGTCCGTTGATGTCGAGCGAAGTTTTTCATCATACAAATATTTATTAACTGATCGACGTTTTCGTCTTTTGTTTGAATACATTAGACACATTTTAACTGTACAGTGCAACAACGCAATATAAATTTAATTAATGAGTATATTTCCAATATAATTTTTTTTATTTATATTCTACTTTTAAATTTATTTTTAATAATTTTATGTAATGCTTAAAATTTAAATGTATACTATTGTTTATTATTTTATTAATATTATAATCTATAATTCATATTTTAAATTACTATTAAACCTATTATCACTCCCATATCTATAATAAAAATTATTATTTATAAATACATTTTTTTCACTTACTTAATTAATTTTTTAGATCATTTTTAAGGTAATTTTTTGAGTTTTTGGGGCATTTTTGTGTGTGTTTTTAGGTCATCAACATCCTAACTCTAGTAATAAGTATTATCCCTCACTCTTTTTACTATAATTTTCTTCGTTCATACTTCAAGAACTTAAACTTTAATTTAAACGCTTTGTTCTTCTACATTTTTCACACTGGACTTTTCCATGAGCCGACCATCGAGTATCAACCCCAGACCCCTCCACCATACCTTCTTTATTACGCAGTTTGTTGAAAAACCCTAAAGAGTTGCCCATTGTATTTTATTTAAGTTACTAAGTTCTACATAATACATCAAATATTTTACAGATATAGTGTGTAGGCAAAACAGAAATAAAACCAGATGAATAAACTTTGCTGCATAGTAAGTTTCGAGTGCACCTCGGAAGTGATAAATCATTGAATACGAAAAATAAAATTCCGAGCAAAGGAGACGTAAGGTAAATCATCATTCATCATATATTATTTCTTAGATTTTAATTACAAAATAATTTACAAATGTTCATGATTTTGACTCATTTTGTCAAAATTTGAACTTCAAATAATTTAAACTTTATAAAACAAAATGTCGTTCATTGTACCTTTATACATTATAAGTTGCATGCCACCAGATGAAATATCTGCAACGTAAATTGAGGAATCATAGATATGTTTTTGGGTGTAGTGCAGTGAAAAAATATCCATAGTATCATGTTAAATTTTGTAAGAAATTTAATTTAATTTATTTTAATTATTTTTGATTTGAGTTCCTATTGCAAAAAGCAAATAATATCGAATTAGCAAAAAACAATTAGAAAAAAAAGTTATAGCCAGCTCAAAAACGTGTCTATGTTAAAAAAAAATGTTAGTAACAACACCTTAGACTTTATGAAGAATCTTGTTTTAAATTTTCAAGCTTTTTAATTAGACATTAAATTTTTCAACAAATTTAAAACAACTACCTGAAAATAGCTTTAAATTAGTCTAAATATTTTTAAAGCAAAGTAAAAAAAGTTTTTCTAAGTATAAGAATATTCCTAGTTTCTACAAATAATATTATGATTTATGAGTTCTAAAATAACCTATGAAGAGGAATCGTTATTTTACGTGTGAACGTATTGTATGATAATATTATAATCGATCATCATTTCGATACTAATGTTGTCAAAATTTAAACTTCAATTACACATAAAAAATGTATGTTGCTTTTCGCACACATTTTTTTTTTAATTTTAACATTTTAACAAAAAAAGTACAAAAACAAGTTTTTCAACAAAAATTCCAGTTTTTTCAACTTTATTTACCCCTTGGCCCCTAAAGAACCAAATAGATCCTATTTTCCAGATATAAATTTGTGATTTGTTTTTGTAAACTACATGTTCAACCTACAGTACCTATTACTGTAATAGGAAATTAAACGAACTATAATAATTAAGATAAAATTCAAATTCAACTTCAACACATCTATAAATGCGACCTACTCAATGACGATTGACACTCGAAACTAGCTACTTATATGCAGCAGAGCAACTTCCTTGGTTTTTCTTTAAATATCGTATCAATTTAATTCTTTCTGCATACATTTATTCTCGTTTTATCTTAAATTAGTGAGCTTATAGTTTCTATAGGTCACAAAGTTTATATTTCAAATAGCACGTTTAAAATTATTTTTACGGTCACAACCTACATGTATTTGGTAATTAATAAATCTGTCATAATAATTTTAAGTCTATACATATAATACTAGAGCTGATATTGCCTATTTATAGTTGTATAGTTTTATACAGAGTGTAATATAATTTGAAACGTAATAAAATTAATATTTCTACAAAAACTACTAATAAGGCTTTTGTTTTGAATAAACTTGTTACAACTTTAATATAACTTGTGGTTATATAGGTTTATACCACCTGGTTAGATACGTTGCTCGCATAATACATATTGAAGTTTACATTAAAAACATTTCAAATTTATAATGGCGTAAATATACTATAAGGTAAAACACTACGAAGTTTTCGAAAAAATAAGTCAACATGCCAACGGGTAGAACTTCGTCGTGTTAAAGTTGAGTAACGCCAAACGTTTCAAAATCAAGGATGTGCTTGATCTCCTGCAAGGATGTATGCTTATGTAATAATAACTTGCCCAACATTATTTACCGATACAAAGTTGGCTCCTTACAATTTTACCACATCGGTCGTGCATATACCGCATATTATACGAGTATAAACGGGTTGATCGCTAGTTTGCAGACGCCAGATTGTATATAAGGGCTATGTTTAAAATATATAATGCACGTAATAGTCTTCAATTTATTCACTAAGTTTCCTTAAAACAATATTGGATTTTTTTTAAATTTAATTTACGAAGAAGATTATACAATTTCGGTTTAAATTGTTGAAATTTCATACCTACAACGAGTAGTTACGAACTTATACTTCCGTCATCATCGTAATACCAAGGATGTTAACTAGAGTTTGAAAATTAATTTTAAAACGTAGGTAATTAACTGTAAAGTATGTAATTATGATAAGTTAATACTTTATAGGTACCTATATCCTTAATTCGCTTGGTAATTCTAGAGAGATAAGATGTATAAGACTAATAAATAGTAATTATATACCTCATTTTTATAATACTTTCGCTGCAGTTGCGTTTGCCGTGAGATGCTTTCTCGAACTATTAATGCTTTAAGACATAGTAGTTTGGTAAAAAAATGTATCATCAAGTTTTTTATTAATTATCACTGATAATTCACAGCTTAAAACGTACTATATTGTTGTGTATAAAGTATTAGCAGTTACGTATGTAAACATAATTCACACTAGAATCGTGCAAGGGATGTGATTAAATAGTATTTGGTATATATTAGTTAGACTTTTTGATTACGTTTATAAACGATTTCGGGCACCACATCCAAGTCTTAGGTGAAGATGTGATATTTATTTGCCTAGTATCATCCCCTATAGGTACAGGTACCTACTTGTTATATCAGTTATATATATATATATATATATTTGACTGAGAAAATAATAGTGAAAACCAAAATAACGTAACAAAAACAGTTATCATTCGGTGATAATACATTTTATTCACGATCGTTTTTGTCTTGAACATTTAATATTTTTTTTACACGAACATACCATACGCATAAAAGTATTTCATTGTATCTAAATAATGATTTCCATTAATATGTACATCCGGGCTCCAGTGAGCATGGCTCATCATTATTGTCAAATACGGTAACAAGCCGCCCATGAGATAAACTATAAAAAAAAAAAAAAAAACTATTAAAACTATTATTTATATATAAACTGATAAGGATTATACGCACATGTATTTGTTAGACAGGTGTGTGCATTTTAACATATTATTTTTGTGTTTAGGTTTACTTATTGAACACCGTAGACGCCTAGCAGCAATAATAAGGTAAGTTTTTTATGTCTTTATTATATATTTATATATATAATGCGTACAGAAGGCACAACGTGTGATATTTGCAAACAAATGGAATCGAAGCTTTGTTTTATGTAAATATTTTGCAGTTATAATAATATATTAGCTTAGTGTATTCACATTTCGACATTTCGCACACACTGCAGGTTATTTCATAGTGTCTTTATATTAGTTATAAACTTATATCAATAAACAAACACTGACGACTATATGTATATGGACGACCTGACAATAATTGTAACTACTGTTAATATTGTTACAATCTCCGAATATACTAGCTTATGATCTCCATCTTGACGAAAGCCCTAAATCAAAAAAGGATATATTATTTACTATTTATTTAGCAATTAATTTACAGAAAACACACACACACCATGACTTCAAAATTTAAAGCGATGACAATTTATTATTACACGCAATTATTAATTGTCAGATAAAATAATATTCTTGGTAATCATTACTATTTGACATTTGCTTTAAAATATTATAGTCTACATGTGTTGTCATTTTATATAGGAATCCGTTCAATTCCTAGTTCCTATAAAAAAGAAACTCATTCTCTTCTTCGTTCCTCTAAACAAGTATCTAACTCTTCACATATGTGTATACATTTAATACTTTATAAAATTATTTTATCATATATCTTAAATATTTTAATTTTAAGTACAATTAATGTGCATAAAATGTTATTTCAAATACTTCTCAAATAGTAAATAGATATAGGTACTATACATTTACTAATCACAACACCATCAAATGTGAATAAAAAATTGGTACATTAGTAATCGAAATAAAAATCACTGGTAAAAAAAATACAAAATTACTCACAAACACATGCAAATTATTAAAGAATTATTTTGTTTCAAACTGCAATATTATGTATGATTCTGCAAAATTAAATCTCTAAAATAAATCGTTTTTAAGTTTCTTATTACATTTTGAAGATAATAATATATAGGTACGATATAAGAATTAAAAACTTCAAATGTTACCTATGGTCGTGTTCGGTGTAGTTCCGTAGTGTGTACATTTGATAATCTATAATATAAGGTAAGTAATTATTTGTATTATTTGACGTATATCGATCATTCGAAATATTTGTATATTATGTTTTTAATTGTGAGTACCTAAATTCATTAACTATTTTTGATAATTATTATTATTCGCATTTGCATTATTTGAAGTATTTTAAATATTTTCATATGCTATATTTTTAACTTTGAGTACCTAAATGTTGTTTGATAATTATTTTTATTTTATAATCTAAGATTGCATCTATATAAAGTTTGACTTGTAAAAATACCCCTAATAATATTATATTTATTCTATTGTCAAAATATTATAGGAAATGTAATGTTTTTAATTTTCAATCCTTAGCTTTACAAATTGAAAATTGTCTACATTTTAAGTACACCTTATAGGTACAAGTATATATTTGTAATTAAATATTGATAATGTTGGTAATTACCCTAATTAGTGTTTAAAAAAATATTTCTTCAATAATTTGCATATGTTTGCAAATATGGATAGTTGTAGTCTGGGGATTGTTTTTTCCAAGGTCTGGGAATTTTTTTCTGGGGTTGTTCGTCGGGGATTTTTTCCTGGGATTTTTTTTTTTGGGAAACTCGTTACATTATATCATGCATGTGTGCATACAATACCTACAATATATCAATATCTACAGGTACTCGTATGAGTTACAACACTTACCTACGCGGTAATATGGTGTAAATCACAACTAACATCACTCGAAATAAATTACAATAATTTATTATTTTCACCGCTGGTGTCTATAAGACGCATATAACGCAAACGACGATGATTTTATTATTTGCGTTTGGCATTGTGTTTATACATTTTTTAGTTTAAATCAATAAATATTCAATTTTCAAGACATCAATCGGGATATTACTGTTATAATATTATGTAATAGGCGTTCATAGATTAAACTTTTTCACTATTAAAGAGAATAGCTATAAGTAACTATAAGGGATCGATCCTTAAACTTAAGTCAATATATCGAATCAACTAGCCTCGATGTCCCCAAAACGTCTGCCTCATTCTTTTTGCTGCAGTTTGAAACTGTTTGATATCCTTGTTTGAAAAACTTCACGAATGTTTAAATTTATTTTTATTTTTTCAATTAAATTTAAAACCTGACCTTTGATTTCAAACTGTTAACCCAAACGCTGCTTGAATATCGTTATTCTTAGAATATTTTGTTCAAAACCCAACTTTTTTAATAACGCAGTACTAAATATTATAGCATTTATTACATCTGCCGGCACAGTAATTTTATATTGTTAATATATAAATAGTACCTAGATACTTTATTTTTGAACTATCATAAAATTGATGAATGCAAACTGAATCGACAATAGCTCAGAATCCAAAATAAATACGATTTGAATAGTACATTAGTACCTATATAATATTTATACGTATAATATTGTATGTGACATAAAGTTAGTATATTTATAGTCTAGTAGTTATAATTTCAAACTCTAGAAATGTATGGGCTTGTGTTACACAATGTGTCAAGTACTTTAAACGTGCATTACATAATATTTAGTAAAAAATTATTTTTTTAAATCACATTAAAAATAAAAATATAATTTTTTAGTTGGTACTTATAAATTATAATATATTTTTTATTATGTAATTTCAATTTTAAAATGACCTGAATTACTTAAGAACTCTACGAAAATCCTCTTATTATTATTCAGTCCTTTGACTTTACTCTTTAAGGGTATTATGTTACATTGCGTATTGTTTACGGCAATTATGGTTCTCCATTTAAAACCCACTTGTCCTAGATAGGTACTTGGTTTTCCGCAACTTTATATTTTATATAATCTGAAATATTTATCATATTATTATATTTTATAAATGCAACGATTAATTATGTTTTTATTCAACACTTCAGCAGTTTAGCGTATCCTTTAATCTTTTTTTGTCATGAAATCGCGGAAAATATTGAAATGTTTCATTTATTAGTTGTCATTAAGTTTTTATTAGTGATTGCGCTTAAATATCGCTGGTTGGCGGTAATTTATATTTTTAAAAATTGAATAAATAAACTGTAACTATTATATTCATAATATTTTTACTGTTTTTAATGATTCTTACGAAAAATGATCCACCAATAATTATCGCTTTAAAAAACTATTTTTATGAATGCAGAATGGACAACAGAATATGTGCTATAACTATAAACTAGCAATTTAAGCGTTAAATTGTGTAGCTAAAATGTATCGTATTAATGTAATAATATTATGTGCTTAACGCTATTAAACCGATACCTATAATTTTTTGATAATAAATTACGTACAGCTGTTTTTGGTCACGAATTTATTTAGGACGTAATATTGTGTAATAATTCGTGGCATAATGTTAACGACGCAATAATTTTCCATTGCATATTATAATTACAATTGATATTTTTTTTTATTATAATATTAAATATATAACACTAAGTATAATATGGTATATTATGTTATTTAAATTTCTGTCCCGTCGGGTGTTAACAAATCAATAACATCGTCATGAAATTTTTTGTTGAAATTGCATCACAAAAATATTAACTTATTGTATGATTTTAATATATATATGTATTATAGTATATTCTACCGCGTTGACGTAGTTTCTCGTCGTTATGCAATATACGTTTAGTAATTACTTATTGTTATCGGTTTTATACGCTAATACACTGCTCGTTAAGAGACATTAACAGATTATGTTCGAAGCGACCACGCTGTAAATTTTTATTACTGCTATTGATGTCGCTCATATTATGGCAGTACTTATTAGACACAGCCCACTTAACACGATTTTCAAATATCAAAAAAATAAAATATGGATTGTCAAAAAGTATATAATACCTACCATAAACAAATAATTAATATGCAAAAGTACTTAAGTATTTTTTAAAATTACACAAGCATATTATTACATGCTAACATTTGAACAAGCGTTCAACATGAAATGATTTATGGTGAAAATGTATTATTTAAGGTATTTATTAGTTGTATTTTCTAATTGTTGAATTTCAATATTGATTTTTGAAATAATCCGGAGTCATTCATCTGTAAATAGTGGTTTTGTATGTACACCTCCGGCATTAAGTAAGTAAGTTATAGTTACAAATGGACAAATTAAACTTGAAACCAATCATAAATCATTGCTATAGGTAGAGCTAGGATTTTGATGACTTGAATTTTTTTTCTTTAAGTGCTATACAGTAAAACTAAATTTGTTCCGTAATATAACACATAACAATGTGTAATTTTTATTTTCATTTTTTTTGCAACTTGTTGCGTTTTTTGTGCTGAATGCAATTTATTGAATTTTTAAGCTCATTTTTAAAAATATTACGTTCTTTTTGTGTATTTAAACTATTTTTTGTTTATTTTAAGTTTTTTTAATATGTGTTGTAATGGAACTCAATTAATACCTATGGTACCCTTATAAAAATAGTACCTTTGAACTATATCCACAACATACTATGATATTATCGCTGGGATACCCGTTTTCGTTAAAATTAGTGTCACCTGTCGGCGAATCGGGAAAATTGAAACTATAATAATAAAATAATATTGAAAATATTTTAAAACTGGTATATTTATCGGCAAACTGAGTTGTCAGCCAATTGGGATTCGGCAAAGTGGAAATCGAAAAAGTAATGTAATTAATTAAACTCATAAGTCAACTCAAATTTTAATATATTTGTTTCATTGAATTCTTAAAAAAAATTGTTACCTTTATTTGTGTAACATAAAAAATGAATAAATAATAATTAATAATTAATAATAATATTTATTTTAAAATTCAATTTTTTTCGCTCATTCGAATACATTTTTTGGTCAGTTTTTTAAGTTAATGTTGTAGTTAGGTCATTTTTGCATATTTTTGTAGTGCATTTTTGTGTATTTTTTTGGTCATTAAAATCCTAGCATACTTATAGGTAAGAAAAA